TACCATACCTTATATAATTTTCAATTTGAATATTTCAGAAAAGGAAGGGAAAAATAGATTGCTCAATGATTAGTCGGCCAACAAATTTTACACATGCCATTCATATTGGGTCAGGTGAAGTAACTGTTCATCACGTAAGTATCTTTTTTTAGTTTTAATCAAACTAGTTTTAAAAGACTATGATAAAATATCCTTTTTTTCGTTCTCATGGGGTGTGCTAGTTAAAAACATATAAATAGTTTAACTCAATAATAAATTTCATATTTGACACTCATTTTTCACGTCTGTTACTATCCAAATGTGTTTCTACATGTTAAATATTTGAACAATTTAAATACAGTGGTTGAGTACGTTACATTAAAACGATGCTCTATCTCACGACTGTGCAACTTGACAATAACCCTTCGGTGTAGTTTCCATTGAAAAAGGCAACGCTGTAAGGTTGTCATGTACAGAGTACACCACTATTCTCTGATGTTTCCATAATTTATATAGTGTATGAGGTTTCCAAGAACCCATTTCAACAATCGAATTGCACAGAAATCCATAGGCACTATGTCTGACAACTTAACCAGTATTTTTTTTTTATGGAATAGCATGAATACCGATTTTATTCTCCATCAGCTTTAGGTAAACAATGTGCATATATATGACTCGTGTTGTTTTTTCTGATGGATATCCCTCATGATTATATTGCATACTATTGCCTGGGTCATGTGGATGGCTTTTGTCACTAACTTTTGTGTTCATAGATTCTCACCTCTTACAAGATGCTTCACTTTGCTTACCATGGCTGGGTATGACTTCTTGCAGATTTCTTTCTGGATGATTCTGGTCCCCAATTTTATTCCTTTTTCTTTGTTTTCTAATGCTATTAAATACAACGGGTATTCCTGTCTTGGCAATACTAAATCCCTGATCTGAACTCAATTTTATGATATGAGTGTATGAATATTTTGCACTGGAAAGGGCTGTAACCTAACCTTCCCTTAAACGATACTATCTACAAATTCTTTTCCTGTTTGTTTTTAAAGCAAGAAAACAAAAAAATTGGGTTATCTTTGAAGTGCCTACCATGGGTATTGAAACTCAACCTTTAGAATTACAATCTATCAGACTTGTTACTAAGCCACAAGGGGACCCTACAAAATGCCAAAATATAGTTCCACAATGACTTTATAGTTGCTGTGGTTGTCAGGTGACTTGATGATTTGCATATTCGAAATTGTTTTAATATAACGTTGAATCTGCTGTAAAACAGTATTGTTCTCATATTGTTCGTTATGTTTTAAATATTAGGTATAGGATTTATATGTATAAAAAAACGTATCCAAATAATATCATTCAATATATTTCTATTCACATATGTATAAAAAGCTTATCCAAATAACATCATTCATGATATTTCTATTCACTGGCATGAAATCTTTCAATATTATTTTGATAGAGTCCTAGCCAAATATGCAATCAATAATGACAAGAAACGTTTCTATTTTATCCCATAATTGATTAGCTCGATAGCCTTCATCGACAAATGGCTTCCAAAGGTGGATACGACTATTATCCTCTATCTCTTAATGTTCAAGTTTCGGAGGGTATCTGATACCACAACCATTTTTTTTGTACCTTGAAGCTGACAGACTCAATTATATTGAATAAAAGATATATGTATGTTAGTTTCAGCCATTATTAAATTTAAATCTTTCAAAAATTGTCTATTCTTTGTGGATTTTTTAAAAATTTATTGTCAGATAATTTACTAAAATGTTTAAGGAGTAAAACTTACCATGAATTTAGTTAGGAATAGTCTTGTTAGTAAACAATTTCTCTATTACCATATTATCACAAATGATCTATCTAAATATTGTTCAAATAAAATCCATAGATTTAGTGGAAAAGTAAAATTTTCTGTACTAGTGTGGGCTGTTAAAGTCAGTCACGTCTTAATAGTTCTCTACCTTATTGGTGTTTGACTTCATTTCAGATTGTGTGAACAAGTTCTAGATTGGTTTACAGTTAATGTTATTTATCTAGTTACACAGTATTTTCAGTGTAACTTTCACTTGTATGGAATGTAAACGTGTATATGTATATATTGTAAATCACATAAATAAAAATCATTATTTATCAAGCAGATCTACTGATGGCAATGCTGTATTGTTTGAAAACCTAATCTATATAAAACCCAGTGTGTTTCACATCATTTCAAGCTTGAGTTCTTGAAATAGGAAGAATCATAAAAACCAAACTGCACTTATCCAAATAGAATAGTTTGATTACTGTCTGCCCATTATGATTTTAGTGACAGGGTGAAAGGGGGGTGCGGTGCCATAGTGTTGGATCACCTAGCTTAGAGCCAAGTGCATAAAATTTATCATGAAAGTAA